AATATAATATAATAATAATAATAATAAATCTTCCGACGCGTCTCACCAGAATTTCATCAAATGATAGAGGTATACGTTACACTTTCATTTAAAATCATTATTATGTTTCATCGCTCTGAAAACGAACCGGAGGTGTACACCGCTGGAATTCCACGAACCTGTGTCACCAGGATTTCATCAAATAACAGAGTTATGCCGTGCACGTGCATTTAATACAACTATAATTGCACAACGGCTGTATCTAGAGTCGCGTAATGGACGAATAGAAACAGAGCGAAACTTTAAATAACTACCTATTGTTATTTGTGAACCAGAGTAGGTATATCCACACTGTTTTTGATACTAATAATGTAGTAGTAAATTTTCTGAACTGTCCTGTTGCATGAGTTTTTTTATGTAACTGGATTGGCAGATGGTAGACAGAATAATATATAATTATTATCCTCAGTATGTACCTACTATTAAAAAAATATTATCAAAGTGATGATAGTGTTTTGTTAATTGCTTCAATCTTAAAAAATGATTTTGCGAGAAAGAGGCAAATTTATTTATGTATTATATATAGACCTTGTAGCCCAAGAGCCCACGACGGCCAGACTTACGTCTTATTAGTGAACGTGAAAGTTCTTGTATGTGTGTCCCCAACAGAGGTAAGAACGATCTCCAAACATGAAACCTGGATCGTGGTTCCTTTAGCAGGTAACAGGTAACAAAGGTATAAAATTTTTTATATCAAATTCTTTATTTTAAGAAATTCCATGTTTTCATATATTGTTCGTAGCATTATTATAACTTGCGCTGCTCATTGCCAGAGACTTAGTGTGGTTCCAACCCCCCGCCGGACCCCCCTAAACTATACTATTTTATAAATATACTTACGTCATTTTAATAAAGCTGAACTTTATATATATTATTGAGACAACTATTAAACTGAGTTTCCTAGTTTGCCAGACAGTTTTCTTGGTTCCTTATCCTACCAGACTCATTGAAACCGTATATTGGGTAACGACGGTGTATACAATTTCATATCAAATTCGTTATTTTAAGATGCTCCATTTTTTCACATATTGCTCGTAACAGTATTATAACTTGCTCTGCTTATTGCCAAACCCTTAGTGTGGTTCCAACCCCCAGCCCAAAAAATAAATAGCCACCTATTTTGAGCCCTACAGAATATACATATAAAATTTCATTAAAATCGGTTGAGCAAATGTTTACATTTGCAGGTCGCATTCACACATCGCTACTAATATTAAACTAAATCTAGTCTTAACAGCTTACATCTAATAATATAAAAAAATATCAGTAGTGCATCGTTGGAGCCGGACTCGCGTGGAGACGGACGAGCGGCGCGAGCCAGCCGCGGCTTGCTGCCGCTACCTTGCTGGCCGCTAGATACCGCCACGGAATATACAGGTACCCTGGCTCAGCCCCGTATCGTCACCCGAGTGTCGCATTTTAGGATTCCAGCGCATACCAACAACATGACACGAAATTTTTATATGTTAAGTAGAAGCAGATATAAAGATTTACAAGAAGTAAGTTCTGCTTAGCCTTGCGACTGGATATCACTGTGTGAATTTTTTTAGGATCTTATTATTTTTCTGTGCTCGAAGTAATTTGGTATAATATACCTATTATAATAAGGTAATTAGGGCCTACCCTTATAGACCTTATAGATCTTGAGCTGATTATGTACGATGATCAAATATAACCATGGACACACACTGTAAAACAGGAAACATAGATACTTGCTCGTGTTGTCAAATATCAGACGAAATTTAGAATTCTAACTGCGGAATTTTTGCTTTAAAACTGTAATAATGCAATCTTCAATTCAATAAATACATAAACCATTATTTTTAGAGGTGTTAGACAGGTTCTTTTAACAATTTGTATAGTATGACATCGAGACCATATGCTGTATCTCATGGGGCAGATAAGTATGCATTAAATTCACATAAGTGATGGGTTTATTTAAGTACCTAGATAATTAAAGTTATCATTATTTTCACTGATGTGTGATTTACCATAAATTGAGTCTCAACGGTTTCAGGAGCATATTTCTTAAGAAAATCAAGTCCAGTTATTTTTATTTGAAACTTGACTATATGTTTTATTGATTTTTTTAACAGTATTCCAAATATTTGAATTGGGTGTGGTACGATTAAAATTTTCACAAAAATTATTCCAGCTAATCGATTCTTCGTTTTCAAATGTAATTTTTTTAACCTTTTAAAATACAAGTAATTTGCTTGGGTTGTTTTCAAAATTCACATCAAGCATATTTAGAATTTTCTACTGCAAATGTACACCTACATTTTTCATTCCACTAATGGAAAAGGAATCATTTTATTTTTAAAATGATTATATATATTTATTTTGTAGAATTTTTGTATTTTGATTTTTACATTTTACATTTATCTATAGCAGAACATTTAATATAGAACAACACAACAGAAATTAAATTAATGTACCACTACAGTAAGTACAAAGTGTAAAATCTTGCAACTGACGTGCAACAGTGCGTTATGTTATAACGATAAATACTGTTATTATACTTTAATTTGTTTAATTGTTTATTGTAGGTTTATAACTAATTTTTATACCGCTAAGTGGGTGGCTCACTCCAAAAAGCTTTTCTATTTATTTGACAAAAAATATTTTTTATTATGTGCTTTAAAATATACACCCAAACAACAATTTTCACCCTTCTACCACTGACCCCTTTTTAATAGCGATTTTAATTTATACGGGGTGAGAACATTTACGGGGTCAGGTAGTATATCAAATCTAACACTTGTTTTAGATTAAATAAAATAATGTAGTTTTATATTTAGTTATTTTTATTATTTATTGCCATCCAGTTCATTTCAATCAGGTTTTCCATCAGGATATTAAGTCATAATAGGATAAAGGATCAGATCTATGGAGTAGTTGTATTGACAATATCTGTGGTAGCTGTGCTGTAATCTGTGAACGTTTCTCTCTACTCTATGTATTATAGTCATTCATCTGTGCCTGTGATTGTCATAACAAACAACAAACATTGCCGAATTTAAACAACTATTTTTTCTAAGTATTCATGAAATAAAATAAATTTAATAGAAACATATCTCTATTTCCTGCTCACTCAAATAAACAACATGTTTGTTAAGTTGATGAAATTACAATCCCTTATAATTAAGGAGAGTCAAGGTATGGCCAATATTAAATAAAAAAATTTGTTATTTCCTAGCGCACGCACACACAATATTTCAGTCACCCAAACTTTCCAACTTTACCCTCAAAATAAATTAAACCCTTTTGGTTTAATTATAGGAGCCAACAGAATCTCAGCGATGCATATTTATCTGTAGCTTTATGCTGAGGTGGTTGCCTCTTCATCTTTGCAACACAATGGCATCTCGATTATTTTATTTCTAAATTGGATTCTGTGTCCCACATATACTGTGTTTGTAATTGTTGAATAAAGAATTTATCTATCTATTTATCTAACATATCCAGCTGGGGCTGAGCTCATTGCTTAGTAAAATATTTAAACATTCCTGTTAATTTATGTAGATTAAAGTTGCTTTACATTAACTCAAAATATTTAAATAATAGATTGTAGATGTAATGGGTCCCAGTGAAACATCCTTGCCGGCAAACAATGATGAGGACTGGATGATGTTAAGGCAGCAGTGAAGCATGTTCACTCAACACCTCACACTCGGCGCTTCTCAGATTTCTATGTAGACTAATAATAATTATAGTTTTGTTTTTTTATGTGTGTGTTCTTTTTAGTGCTACAGAACGGTCTGCATGCCCATCTCCAGCGGAAATTGATGGATTTACAAATAAACATAAAATAAATTATAGAAGCTATCAGTTACTAGTTATACAGTTTAGAAGAAAGCTTTAAATTATGTGGACAACGGACAAAGCTGAGTGGAATAAAATATTACTTCTTGCTCTTTATTACTGTTACATATTGATTATTTTCACACTGTTACAAAAACATTAATATGTCCATTAATAACTTGGAATGGAATAAAAATTTGAAATTGATTATAATAAATGATCAACCAGAGAAGTCAATTATTATTATTTAATGCTTGATATTGACTAATGCAGAACAGCATTACACTTTTGTCTTACTATGTTTATTGGCGAAAATGATTAATTCTGTAAATTAATGGACAAAATAAATTTAAAATATTTTAACTGACATCATGACTTGCATAATGCCTGCCTGTAGAGAGATTATAACTTGAGTAATGATTTTACATTATAAAATATTATGTATTTACAGCTGCACGCTGCAGCAGGCGCGGCTTGTTACCTGCACACCACCTCCTCACCAACGATCACAATGTGCTACCCTCAATGAACATAGATCATGAACACAAGACCATGACAGAAATCTTACTGCGGGCCAGCGATTGCTAGGTATCGCTGAAGCCGAATCTCAAATAATATAATAAATAAAATGTTAAATATAACCAGGGTCTTTATTTTTACCTTCAACATGATAGGATAACAACACATGCTGGTATTTCTGAGTATGAGCGCACTATAATATATTTATCGCTAGCTGCCTACTTGATTGAGCTATGCCTAAGAATGGGTTAATACTAACTGATGTACCGTGCAAAGGCGTACGGCAATAAGTCACTTTTTTCCCATGAAGGCTGCTTCAACTGTAACTGGTTAAACCAGCTCTATTACAAGATGTTTCGCAGCAATACGCCTTCGGATATTTAATACTTAGTTTGGAAGGTTTAAATTTTTAAGATTATCCTTTAGCTTAAATTGTGCCGCCCAAGTATTTAATGCAAAAATTAAACATTATATTGAGCATTGAGTAGAATTGGATTCTTTGATGGATGAACTTATTTGATTGGGTCGCAGAAAAGCTAAACAAAAGAACATGACACGCAAAATGTTTACTGTAAAGAGAATGTGAAGTAAATTTAATATCGAAAAGTGCAAATTGTTTGTATCAAATCATATTTAAGTCATGTATTTAATATGCATGGTATGAAGTCGGATCTAAATAAAGTTGAAGCTATAAAAAATAAGTAGGATATGACAGGAAACGAAGGGTCAATAAAAAGCTTCGAATATTCATCAGGTGTTTTAATTAGTACGTTTACAAGTGGCATACCATTAGCATCACTAGTATCAATATCAATTTTCAAATCTCCCGGCCCCAACGCGGGTTGTTCATTCTTCAATGTCATCATTTCCTCCGGCTTCAGTAAAGATACCCCTGAAGTCGATTGTTTGTTCATTAAATTCTTTAACCACTTCTGATTTTGTATACGCTGCTCTGGATTCGTATTATCAATGGTTGTTAATTGGTTATTCAAAACCTTTATATCGCCTACTATTTTGAGTAGCTCCTTATCATTCTCTGGTTCGACTTTTTTCGGTTTCTTTGAAAAATATGGTTTGACTTCGAACTGGCTATCCTCAGATTCGTAAGCTCGATTCATGTTGTCTATTTCGGTCCACGCAGCACCAGAGACAACCGAGCAGCTGGCCGATGGTGTGTCTACTGGTGTCTCTCGCCGTAAATTGATCTCTTCATCGGGACCAGCATTTTTGTCCACCTTGGAGAACTGCAGGTCCTCGTAGCCGAATGGAAACTCGCACGCCGTGTTCTCACACATGAGCATCTTCTCATTGAAGTTTATAAAAAACTTTTTGATCTGAGACAGGCACAACGGACACAACTGCAATAGAAACGATATATATATACATATACACACTAACACTTTACACAATAATATACATGCAGCAATATTAAAATTCAAATAGCGAATAACAACCATAAGTAATATGTCATATGCATGTGTGTAAATGAAAAATAGAGATATCTGAGACAGAGAAAGCAAGTGGTGAAACACATCAAGTGAGAAGTAAACACTTCTTTGTTTTCATTGAATACAGACGGTCACATATAGAGAATGGGTGGAACAATTAATAGAATATTGAAAATATGGAAGATTACAAAAACAAGTAGATACTATTATATGTTCGCACTTAAATCCCATATATGTACACAGAGAAAGGTAATAGAAACTATACAATAATCAATACAAAAATACAAATGTTTGTATCGTGCGCGATTCGAAACGACGACCATCGCAAACTAAGGCAGTTACGCTTGCTACGCCAACTGCCTCATATTCCTTATTGCACACGACAATTACATAAACATATCTACACATACTTGCTAAATACTTACTTTTAAACCTTCATCAATTATTGTCGCGTTTTCGGATAGGTTTATTGGTGCCCCCTGGAATTCGAAACATATTACAACATAAATTTTAACTGACATATACATCATAATTATCTTTAATGTCCTGCCCCTGGCGATTAAATCCTATCCCCCGGCGTTTGGTGCCGGGGTCACCTCCATGCGGTTTCCCTCATGATAAATTCCTAGTGGATTTGCACGATGGGCTAGTGACCTCAACTCATGCTCATCCTATCATCCTCCGCTGGTGCCCCATCAGCGTGTACCTTTCAGGCCCCGCAGCCGGTTCATATACTCAAAATGTGACATGGATGTAGAGAGCGGCTAAAACTAAGAAATTCATGTGACATAATTTTTAAGAATGATTGCTATGAAGTCAGTACTCAGTCGAATGACGTAAGATTGATCTAATAGAATAGTGCCTTAATATAGAATATAAGAATATAATGTAAATTCGTAAACATTTAAAGTTAATATTTTACTTCTATTGCTGAACATGGAATGTGGATTGACCAAGACAAATAATCAAGAAACTTAATAAACAAAGTAGAGACAGAGACGGACAACAACGATGATATATGACATACTCTCAGACCATCCTCGGCTGCTGCAGCAGTTCCATCACTACCGTCGCGGGGTAATATCTGCAACAAACATCTTGTGTGTACAATGTGCACTCACACAAATCAATAATAATAATGATAATTACTCTTTATTATTACCTCATAGAAAATACAGTTACATGTACAAATAGATGAACACATATTATTATTTAGTAAGACAGATTCAGCAGTGGGCAGCCCTATCACCAGATAGTGATCTCTTCTGGATTACTTACTACTGTCATCAAGGTATCATTTAATTGGATTGACAAGCTGTCAACCACTGCTGTAAGGTATATCTATATATATCTATATATTGAATGTCAATATCTGTACCAATATTGTTATAATATGACGTCTGTGATGCCACTCATGCGTTGCCCTTCTCAAGGAATATGATGTCTATACCTCTTAACCTGTAATTTCACTGCCATTCAAACAAATGCAGTTTGATGGTTGAAATATGAGAGATAGCCACGCTGTGTGTCCCCATTTTATAAAGTGCAGCTACACTTTGTCAACATTTTAAAACTTAATAAGAAATAAATAAGAAATTGCACCTACAATGATGTCTTCCCCCACTACATTTGTATTTTCAGAAATATTCATCGCCGGCTCCAACTAAAACAATGTACAACAAAAATATTATTAACAATAATAATAATAATAATAAACATATGTATCAAACTCAAAACTATTATTAACATAGCTAACTATTTGGCCATTTGTGCAACACAATTTTTTTTTTTTATTAGACATAAAATTCTTGAAATTGGATATTTATGGCATGTTGTTAAGTATTAAAATTAAACTTTGACAAACCATGTAGAGATATGTCTTATTTTTTTATTGTAATATTAAATATTGACAAATTTTGTACAGATGGCACACACCTTTCATATAAAATTAACATAATAATGTACAAATGGCTCCTGGGACCACTGACTAGAAAACCCAACATAAAATTAAATATGAACCTCTTCCTCTCTCCACCTCTGTTGTGAACATTAGGATAGTAACATTCACAAGTGGCAATTGTTCAGAATGTACAGACCCTTAAGAACTGACAAGGCACTTGGTTGGTACATTATTCTTGTTACAAGTTTTTTTATCCTCACAACTGTGGGGTGCTCAACAGAGATGGCAACCTATCTATTGACTAGTTAACACACATATGTTATGTCACATGAGCACATTAAGAGTATAGATTTTATTAAGAAATAAATATTACAGCCAATATATTTTATACCCAATATTAGGTATATTTTGTCAGTCACAGTAAGTATATTTATACACACTATAATCTATGATGTTGAAACACATAAATTTAATAGAAATAGAAATAATTTTTATTCATATTTGTTGACATTAAACAGTTATAAGAACATATTTATGATGATGGATATAAGTGCACAGGTGTTTATATAGTTATTTGTGAAGATGCAAACATATCGGCAACCTTTTTTTTAATTTTTTAAGCTGTGTTTCATCTAACCATCCCCTTTGCAACTTTAACATGTAATAGCTAATTAATTAACAAACGAGATTATATTTTGTTTGTGTCACTTTAGGGGTTGGTATATAAAACCACGCCCAAAAAATATTGATCTCGTTTTATTTAGTTTCTAACATTGCAAAAACTCTTAAAAATATATAAGTTATAATTAGTTTATCGATAATTATATATTAATGGCTTCAATTACATGAATATATCTGGAATAGCTACTGAGAAGACATTTTTCGTCAAGCGGTGTTTTACCCCCATTATTATCTTACTACAGGGGTTGGGGGTGTGAGATTGAGCGTGAAGCTATTTTAGATGAAAAACAAGGTAAGAACCCAATAGCCGCGAGAGCAGTTTTAATATACTTAACTCGCTAGATCCTTTAAAATACATACCGGTATGCCGTCGTCCATTATTGTAGCATTTTCAGTGATTTCAGGTGGAATCTCCTGTAAATATTAAGATAAAACGGATAAAATATTTCTAGAATCGCGCAGCATTAGAATTAAAAAAATGAAATATACTCACCACAGGAATAATAGCGTCAGCGTTATTAGCCATTGCTTCCTTATTCATGGAGTTGGAGAATATTGATTGATTTCAAAAATTTTATTTGAGAATTGCAAGCAATTTGAGAAGTGTTGCTAACACGAATAATGCAAAATTTGCTAAACTGCTGTTAAAATTATGCTAATTGTCATAAAATAATCCTAAAAAAATATGCGAAAATTTTTTAACGTCATTTAATTTTAAATCTCTAATAATGAACAAAAAATCTGTTATAATCAATTACTTTATAGAACAACATTTATGTCTCAGTCTTAGCTTATCCTGCAGATATTACGGCTAATGCAATTTGCTCACTGGTGAAATAGTTGCATAAAGAATTAGTTCTTGTTATTAGTAATTAATTTTAGGGTACAATGGGACTTGCATGTATTTTTAGTTTGTACAAAAGTCCCTAAATGTTAAATAAATTTAAAATAATCTTGGTCTCCATCAATTTTCAACAATCGATGCTGATCGACAGATTATTAACAATGACAAAGGTAATCTTAGTAACGGTTCCGAAAGAGGATAAAAATTACTCCGACAAGAGTCTGGTCCTTTCATACGACCTGCAAGTGTGATAGGCAAAAACTTTTGTGAGTGGAATTATTTCGTATCGTTTATTCCATGGTTATTTTTTTATTAAATAGTTATAATTACAAGTAAATATGCCAAAACTAGCATAAAATTTGCAAAAATTGGCAACAATGTCGCTTATCTCGATGTTCCAGGGCCGTATAATACTTCATAAAAAAAGAAATAACTCGATGTCAGGACTTTTTAGCGGGAAGTCAAATTGAGTGGGTGTTTTAAATTTTAAGAGGCCTTTCACATTTTTTGGCGTAAAAGCGGGGTCTTTGGGGTTCTGGTTCTAAGAAATTAAGAGTCGGATATACATTTTGATTCCTGAATTATATAGATAGATATCTTATCTTAAAAACTACATCTTTGAAATGTTAATTTTCTCTTTATTAGTCTTCCTAATTTCTAAAATAGTTTATTCAAAAACGCTAAGAGACAGAAGTTTGGGGTCGTCGTTCATTAATAAACAAACATAAATTGATATGATATCTGTACTAAAACTTGATAATTACTTCATAAATTGAGACAGCATCGTCCTTTTTTTCATTTTCAACTTAAATATCTAAAAAATTGATCATAATGAAACCCGAGATTTCAACAAAACTTTGCCATAATCATTTCTAATTTTCTCATAAGTACGACGAAATTTTTGCATAAAAAAAAACATAATAATAAAGTTAATATACTTGTAAATTAGAAATATAAAAAAAATACACGTTTCTAAGAAAAAAATAAACAATAATAATAAATTAAAGTTGTATAAATTCTATTGCGCCAAAAGTAAAATTTCAGTCCTGCGCTAGCGCTCGTCGAGGTAGGACCTGTGCTATTTTTACGACACCGATAATATATAAATAAATTTTGAACATTACTATAGTGCGACTAAATAATTTTGATAATGTAAGTAATTTTTAATTAATTTTGCTAATTCTTTTTTATAAATACGATATTAATGACGTTGTTTAATATATATGCTATATATATTTAATTATTATTTTAGCATGCCAAGAAAAAAGTACAGTTATGCTACAAAAAAACGATACCCTGCTGTACTAAGAAAAGCGAGGTACTAAATTATTCTCAAAATTACAATATTTATTTTATTTATTTATTAATTAGTCATAAAGTAATACATAACTCTGGATCTATTTTAGAAAGAAAACAAATGATATAAAGGACGATATGGTTGAAGTTTCGCTTTCATCTCCAATGGATACGGTAAAAACAAAATTTATATCTGTTAAAACTATGTCTATTTTTAACGTTTTTTTCTTTGAGTACTCATGCAAATAAATACTTGTTTATAAATATATTTCCGTGACATTCTGCACTAAGGCATTTATTCAACACCCAATCTCCTTCAGGGAGTATATTATTTGACTTAAATTATCAATTCACACATCAAGCGCCCCAATATCATAAAAGCTATTGTGTATAAGCGATTACATTTTTTTATATTTTAGACTACTAACGATATAAAATCTTCCTTATTTAAGACCAATTTATCATTTAAGGTTGCACGATCACCACTTGATAACCAGCTTTTACAAATAGAAGAGATATTTAGCGAAAGTATTGTAAGTATTTATTATCGTTTTATAAGAACTTGAAGAAATTCAGGACTCTGGTCAATCTATTGTTTCGTTTTTTATATTGGTCAAATTGTATTTAGTTTTGTTCTTAAATTATATTTGGAAGAAATAATTCAATTTAATTTGAAAACTATTCAACTATTTTCTTGTGATGTTATAATAAAATGACGGAAATAGATAAATTTTAGAAATCACTTATTTGATTTCCATCCTTGCTAATATTGTAAATGTAAAAGTGAGCTTGATTGTTTGTTATTTGTTGGCAACTTAATGGCTTAAGCTATCGTCATCAATTTCGATACAAATACATCAATATTTTTATTTAGAGACGATCGTAGGTTACTATTAATACAGTCAATTAACATATTCCCAAGCATGTGGAAGAAGTCGCGGATAAAAGCTAGCTTCTTATATATATATATTTATAATACTGAGGACAAACGAGCATGCGGCTCACCTGATGGTAAGTGATTTCCGTCGCGCATGAGCACCCTCAACACCACGAGAATTGTAAGTACGTTGAAAAGCAAGCAAGTTGTTGGGCTCGTAAAAAGGAATAAGCTCTTTTCTTTTCAATATCGTATCTGTTTGGAAATACCATTGGTGGATGGTGATTCCACAATGTGGTTGTGCGTGGCAAAAAGTTTCTAGAAAACCGCACTGTAGAGGATTCGTCAATCGTCCAGATGATCAGGATGGTATATTAATTTCTGGCGGGTGGTAAACTGAACGTCACTGGATATATCAATGCCAACGACCTCGAGATTTGGCTTCACATCAAGGAGAGTGTCTTGAAACTGAGGAGACACGTTAAATATATTCTTTTTAGCGGTAAACACACCGGTTCGTTGAATAAAAGGTGTTTCAATTTACATCCAGGGTCGGTAACGTATGAAATTTCGTTAGGAGAGGATATTTGCGTCTCCGTAAGAAAGAGCAAAGCTCTTATCTTGTAGTCTTAAATGTAAACTTCTTAACATCTTCCGAGAAAATATGAATTGAAAATATTCTACAAAGTTTTGATATTAACACATAATTATTTATTATTTAAGGATGAAGATTACGTTGTTGAGGGACGAAGGATAATTGACTTTCAATACTTTATAAATCAATTAATTGATATAGATACACATGGCGAGAAATTAGAGTGCAGGCTAAATAACCTGAGATTACTCAAGGAGAAACAAAATGGCCTAATTTCAAAATTTTATTTTGCATGCCGTATGTGCGGTTCTAATTTTACATTAAATACTTGTGACGATAATGCATTGAAATTAGATGTGAATGCTGGCGCGGTATCAGGAGCCATTATGGTTGGAATTGGTTTGTCAAATCTGAACGAGCTCAATGCTTCAATGGATTTACCAATTATGCCATTTCGATTATATAGCAATAAACACGACGATGTTGCTGAAATTTGGCGTATATCTGCTGAAAAGTCGATGCAAGACGCGGCCAACCAAGAACGAGAAGCTGCAATATCACGTGGTGAGGTGAATGATGCTGGAACAGCAATGATAGCAGTTGAAGCTGATGCGTGTTGGAGTAAGAGGTCGTACAAAACAAATTATTCTGCTTTATCTGGAGTTGCGGCTATTATAGGGGAACATACTGGAAAAGTGCTATATATATAGGTGTTCGTAACAAATATTGCGTTATATGCGCTCGTGCTTTTAAGAAACACTTACCTCCACAAAAGCACAGTTGCACCAAAAATTATTCAGGCTCCTCCACAGGGATGGAACAATCTATATTGATGCATGGTTTTAAATGTTCAAGAGAAGAAAGAAATTTGATCTATAATGTCTTAATAGCTGATGGTGACTCAAGCACATATAAGAGCATTCTTGAGCGTAGACCATATCCCGATGTAACTGTGCAAAAAATAGAGTGTACGAATCATTTATTACGCAACTACAATGGGAAGAACACGCAGCTACAAAAAGATATTACTATTCCATTAAAAGAACGTAAAGTTCTAACCGCAGATCGTATAACTAGGTTACGTACAGCAATCCGCTCAGCAAGTAAATATAGAAACAAACAAAACTGTTCCACTGAATTAAAAATTAAAAACTTGCAGAAGGACATATTGAATAGTGTACGACATATATTTGGAGATCACATGGAATGCGAAAATTATTACTGCACACCAAAAAGGAAATCGGAACAGAATCTTGTTCCGATGGTACCAACATTAATAATTAAATTGCATAAGAACGCATCCCAGTTGGCATATAATTCCAGAAGTCTATTATGTAATTTTAATAACAATCGTGCTGAACAATGTAATAGTATGGTGGCGAAACTGGTGGGAGGCAAAAGAATAAATTTTTCTTTAAAAAATTCGTATATGGCATGATGCTATGCAGCAGTGGTAGCTTTTAATAATGATAAACCTCATTACACTTTTTATAAAACACTTTGGGATAAAAGTCCAGGTAAATCTTTAAAAAAAATAGAGCGAAAACGGCACATCAAAAACACATATTCAGTAACAGAGCCAAAGCGTAGCCGAACCAAATTAAATTTTAGGAACACTGGTAGTGAATATGGTAAAAATTCTCAACGTCCAGATATGAACCACGACGAGTATGAAAATGCTAAGATACTGTTTTTTAATAATCTTAAAAAACAAGCGCTGAATCGTCGTGATGTTGAGCGCAGTACCATTCTTCAAGCTGAAAGTTCATTGTGGGTTGAACTTCGGCGTTGTATTTTAACGGCATCTAAATTTAGTAAGATATGTAAGAGGCGTGCCAACCAAAATTCCGCACCATTAGTGAAAAATATATTATATAGTTATGATTTGGACCACGTTTCCTCCATCCAGCATGGTAAAAAAAATGAAGTCAAGGCATTGGCACAGCTT